GTTAGGGAGGGGGGCCCTGTGAGCTTCAGTGCCCAGGGGCCCCTGGGGTTGTTAATATGGCCCTGTCTCTGCCTCTTCTGTCTGAGAGGTTCTGGCTCTGCAACTCCATCCTCCACCTCAAACTGAAGCTGCAGCTTCACGTTAGAATCAACTCAAAATCCAAACACGCTAAATATGACAAATCTCAAATATCATCAGTCTTCCGCTCTTGGTGCGTCTCTGTCACTGCCAAATTTCCTTCAACTTCTGGGTGTTTTTCTTCTTCCTATAGATTTTTTGGTGCTTGACAAGCAACTTCAGGCCTCAGTCAGAAAAGAGGTGGGGGGTTGTTTGCTTGGCAGGTGTGGGAGTGTTTTCTCCATGAGAGTGCCCATCTTTGCAGCTGCCTCAACAGAAATCTGGCATTCTCCCAGGATCGGGTCTCTGGCATGACATTATACCCCAAACATGGAAGGGGATGTTTCCAAAGCCACGACTGAAATAGCTTGAAATTGTCACAAAAACTTAGTTTTTAAAACCAATTTGCGTTACTTTTCAACGTTGGCCACGGAACAACAGAAGTATTCATTTGTTATGTCTCTTATTATATTTCGCTGGATATGTAATGTAAAACAATTGAGGGTGTTGAGACTTTAAAAAGAAAAATGCTGCTCCATACTTTAACCGTTTGTCCACTCCCTGGTCTTTAAAGGGTCCCTTTCTTACCTGTTGTGATGTTTTCATTGCCGAACATAATTTCCTCTGCTACACGGCCGCCCATACTGACATCCATCTGGGCCAAGAGCTGAGAGCAAGTCTCACTCCACCTGTCGTTCTCTGGGAGCATGGACACCTAGAGGGAAGGGGAGGATGGAAATGTTCCCCAGAAGTAGGTTAATGTTGCATAATGCAAAGTGTAAAGCAGACTGAGGTTCTCTTACATGTCCCAGACTGGGGCCTCTGGGCATGATGGTAGCCTTGTTGATTGGCATAGCATCTTTGGTGTAGTAGGCAACAATCGCATGACCGGATTCATGATACGCTGTGATCTGTTTGTTCTTACTGTCTATTTCTGCACTCCGTCTCTCAGGGCCTTCAGAAAGAGAGGTAAGAAAATAAATCATATTCTTCTTGAGTTGTAAAACCAGAGAAGCACCAGAAAAGTTGTACAGACCCATGAGGATCTTGTCTTTTGCAAACTCCAGCTCCTTCATGGTGACCATGTCTTTACCATCAACCGCTGCCTTCAGGGCAGCCTGGTTAACCAGATTTTCCAGGTCAGCGCCAGAGAATCCCACTGTGCCACGGGCTATAACCTTTGCCTCTATGGCTGCATAGAGAACAAAGAACAAACAGGAAGTTATGGAAAAGGTTTTGCCACGAACAACAGAGGACATCATGTGTGGTAAAATACCTGCGTGCAGACACTAAAGTCTAACCTGGGTCTACTTTAATCTTCTTCAGGTACCAGTTGAGAATCTCCGTTCGTCCTTTCACATCTGGTTTGGGTACTGTCACCTGCATGTCGAAACGACCGGGGCGGATCAGGGCACTGACAAAGGCAGAGCGGTTAGAAAAACTTCTAAATAAAATTTAAAGAAAAAGTCTGAAGGTCAGAACCTCCAACATGTTTAATGTGCACCGTAAACTCAGCTGCAGTCTGTGATTGTGGCTGAAGAAACTGAGACTCACTTATCCAGAGCCTCTGGGAAGTTGGTTGCTCCAATGATGATCACACCCTCATTTGTTTTAAACCTGAAAAATAACATCCATGGTGGTCAGGGTCTACATACGTCATTATGTGCTCTGTTCTTAAAAACACATCAATATACAATATGTAGCTTAGCTGTGCCACCTCCCACCAAGCAACCTGCTACAAGAGACGTGGGACCCGCACCGGTATCAGGAGTCACAACAGGAAGAGAAGGTACATCGTCCCGGGAACAGGCTGTTTCTGCCGTTTTACATATTGGAATTTAATATTAACACTTAAAAGATGGTTATCCAAGTGCTCCGGTTGCAGCAGAGCTGCAACTTTTCCGAGAGCGTGGAACTAGATTGGATTTGCCGCTGGAGGAATTTGGGAGTGAATTGTGTTGCCAGTCACCATGCCAGCAAGAAGCAGCTGCACTTACGGTAACAACGAGGACTACGTGACAGCAATTCAGGTACGCAAGTCGCTTGATAGAGAGCGAACACATTTTAAACAACTGTTGCTGCAAGAAGTGTTATAATACTGCTAATCCAACATTTTTCAGTCAGGTCATCTGGACAGTTTCTTTTTTTTGTGAAGAAACATTTCACCTTCGATCCAGAAGGCTTCATCAGTCAAGGAAAACACGCAACAAAACTGATTCTTCCCCCAACAGTTTACTCCAAAGTGGAACAAACCAGTTTTGTTTGTGACAAGATGGTCTCTTTGGTACGCCCCCTCCTCCATTGCTGGCCCTCTTCCTTGTTGACAGTCGTGTCAAACTGGTTGAAAACAACAAAGTCCATGCTCAATAATCCTGGTAACTTCACACAAATGATGATGACCAGTATGACCAAACTTTTAATTTATTTTCCTCACTGGCTCTCCAATGAGGCGCACGCATTTCTCCCTGTTCTCCTCCTGCTTTGTGCTCTGTGTATCGGAGCAGCTCCTATTTTTACACATCCTCCGAAATGAAAACTACTGTTTTGGATCCAAAAAAGTTCAATCTGGTCCTCTGGACATTCAAAAACACAAAAAACAAAACAAAGCAAAAAAATATAGAAACGTTTCGTCTCTCATCCAAGAGACTTCCTCAGTCTGAGGTGCTGTATTCAGCTCAGTCTCTTAAATAGCACCTTCTCAGAGTGGATCAACCAGTTTTGCTGCTGACAACCAGAACCAGCTGATCACATGCTCAAGAAGGACCATCAGTCTAACAATGGATCATTAGCACCTGATGGCTGTTTACTGTTCACAGAGGGCTGAGTGATACTAGCAATCACAGCATTGTAAGAGGGGGACAGTTGAACCCGGAGGCTCCGCCCCTGTTTAATGATGGACGGTTTCTTTTCACAAAGCTGGCCTCCTTTACTCCTCTCTCAAACCATCGTTCCTCTCTGTCCAGGATGTGAACATCTTCATCCCTGAAAGAGTGACCTCTGACCTGGAGATGAGTGCAAGATGGCCGCGCTCAGAGCAGTTGCGGCTTCACAGGCTCCCGGTACCATCCCAGTTTTTAGAAGTTTTGATATTGACTCTGTGCCTGACTCCGCGCGATTTATGCATGTGAACTATAGCCGAACCGAACTGATGAGTATAGGAGCGGATTTGCCACGAAATATAGCAGAAATCAGCAACAAACTCAAAACTACGCTCGGCAGAATGCAGATCTTTTTTTTTTTTTTTTAGATGGCTTCCCTTCTCCCCTTACAGCCATCCTCTCCACACCATTATTATGAAATATTTATTCTAGTGATTATCTAGTGTAGGTTTTTATTTTTTTGTTAATAGGATAGAAAGAAAGAAAAGACAAAGTAAGACTCCAAAATATAAGAAATATACACAAAGAGAGCACACGGCAAAACACCCGGCCACTGTCTGTTCACCTGCAAAGAACATGACAAAACACAGCAACAAAATACATATGTATAAAGAACTTAAAATATTCATGGCTATGCAGTAAGTTTCCATAAATATATATACCCATACCTACGCCTATATACATACATACATACACATGAATATACATTCACATACATATCTATATATCTACATATAAAGCCTACATAAGCATCCCTGCTTCTATTTGTGTGTGGTTGTGAGCATGCATAAGTGTATAAGGCTTCTCTAATAGAACATTTAATAGTAACTGTGAAGCAGCAGAGACCCAAACCCCAAGACCAGAGGCAGATGAAAAAGGGGGGACCACAGCCCAAGACCCCAGGAGGGACCCCGACCGCGGAGCCCCCAGGGCCACCCACACAGGACAAACCACTCACCCACCCCCCAGATCGGACCACAGGGGAGAACCGGAAGATCCCCATCAGCGACCACATACAGTGACCCCTCGGGGCCAACAGCGACAAACTCATAGGCCTCCGTCGGAACCCGCCGCACCGATGTAGGTCCAGGACCGGGCACCGAGGCCCGGGCACCGAGGACTCACACCACCCAGGCCAAGGCCCGACAGGGCCAGAGGACCTGAGCCCCACCAGGCAGACACCAGGCCGAGCCGACACACGCCCAAGCGCCCAGCCCCTGACACCAAGGGCCCCAAGCGCGCCGGCAGGCAACGGCACACCCCACCAGGGGGCCGCGCGATAGGAGCGCGATGCCAAGCACCCCCAGTTGTATCAAAGAGGGGGCAGTCCGAGTCTCGGCCTAACAAATACCCATTCATACACAGACACAATCACACAATCCCAACCTCATTCTCACATTCACTCACTCAAAGACATACAATAACGATACATTTCATTCTTATTCCCGATACGCACTCTATACCCCCCAGGTCCAAGACATGTACCCGCCCTCTACAGGGGGCAGCCCATGCCCAAACCCAGGAGGTAAACCCATTCATTCTCGAGCGTAAAAGAGCCAATATCCCAGACCCGGCCCAGGCCATGCCCAGACGACAGGACACCCCCCCACCATGAAGAGGACACGCCACCGACCACTCCCACACACCGCCAACAAGAAAGCACGCGCCCCCAGCCGACCGCCCGCCAGGCCCTGGCAGCCACCCCAAACAGCGGGCCAACCATGGCACCCAAGAGCCAAGCTCAGGGGGTCCAAACAACCCCAGGGAGAGCACAGCGCCAACACCGCCCACGGCAATCCCCCAGACCCCGAACCCCCACATAGTCCTGGTCAACACCCGACGGCCTGCCCTTCTCCCAGACCCCACCCCCGGAATGGCAGTTAGGGAACTGGGGAGGAGGAAAAAAAAATTAAAAAAACAAGACCCCGACACATACACCCCCGCCCCTAGATGTGCTGTTGATGTGTGTTGTTGTATAGTGCCATTAAAAAGGACAGAAGAAGGAGCAAAGGCTGGCATGATGCCAGTTTCCCCTCCACCCCAACTCTATCCAAACCCTAGTGTCTAAATGCAACCGTTGTAAGTGAGCACAGGCAAAGGGGGTGAGAGTAAGGTCATCCCACCACCCATAGCCATGTGCCCACCTCAAGTTCCTATATGTGAATGTCATAAGAATGTTATAAATGAGTTTTGATATTGACTCTGTGCCTGACTCCGCGCGATTTATGCGTGTGAACTATAGCCGAACCGAACTGATGAGTATAGGAGCGGATTTGCCACGAAATATAGCAGAAATCAGCAACAAACTCAAAACTACGCTCGGCAGAATGCAGATCTTAAAGTCATCAACCTGGAAGTTGCAGCAGAGGCGTTCCAGCGGGCAGAAGAGGAAGCGCTGCTCATGGCTTAAGAGGAGAGGATGCCGGGCGGGGGTTATGATGAGGCTACAAGTTAACGCTAAAGCCGGTAAACTCCCCATGCCGTCTCTCTTTCTGTCGAACGTCCGCTCGTTGGACAACAAGATGGATTTACTTCGTCTGAGAGCGGGCGCCTCAGAAGAGATGAAGAAGTGTGCAGTGCTTTGCCTCACAGAAACGTGGATTACAAGCGAAACGCCGGACACAGTCTTCCAGCTGGATGACAGACTTTTTTTTCGAGCGGACCGCTGCAGCTAGCTAACGGGGAAATCACGGGGAGGCGGAGTATGCATTTACGTGAGTAAAAGTTGGTGCACGAACTGTACTGTTGTAAATAGCTCATGCTCGAAGGCTTTGGAGCAAATAACAGTGAAATGTCGGCCACATTATCTACCCTGCGAGTTCACGGTGACTTTTATCTCTGTCGTCTACATTCCTCCGGATGCTAATGCTAATGAATCACTGCAGGAGCTTCATGATATCATCAGCTCGCTGCAGAACAAACACCCCGAGGCTCTTTACGTGGTAGCCGGAGACTTTAACCACGTGAATCTAAAGGACTGTCTCCCAAGCTTTTATCAACATGTGGCGATTCCAACACGTGGAGACCACACGCTGGACCGTGTTTACACAAACGTAAAAGATGCATACAAAGCCGAACCCCGCCCCCACCTAGGACTGTCAGACCACATCTCAATCTTCCTGGCTCCTGCTTACATGCCCACGCTGAGACGCTCCAGACCTGTACAAAAGAAAGTTAAATGCTGGATCCAGGACAGTGGCCCCATACTGAGAGATTGTTTTGACCGAACAGACTGGCAGGTTTTCAGAGAAGCTGCTGAAAATGGAGTTCGCTTGATCTTGACCAATACACATCCTCAGTTCTGGGTTACATTAGAACATGTACTGACACCGTCTCCACTATCAGAAATGTTAAAAGCTACCCAAACAGAAAACCTTGGCTGAATGCAGAGGTGCGTACCCTGCAGGAAGCCAGGAACACTGCCTTCAGGTCTGGAAACTCAGAGGAGCTGAGTAGGACAAGAAAAGAGCTGGTTGCTGGTATTAAGAGGGCCAAGGTCACATATGCAAAGAGGATTGAGGGTCAATTCATCTCACAAGACCCTCGGAGCATGTGGAGGGGCATTAAGTGCATAACAGATTATAAAGGAAGGAGTGAACAATGCCCCAAAGACCCATCTCTGCCTGATGCCCTCAACAAGTTCTATGCACGCTTTGAAGACCCGAACAGACCACCCAGCACCAGACTCACCTCACCACCGGATGAAGAGCATCTCAGCGTGACCTCAGCAGAAGTAAG